GCCGTTTGTTTCTCGTAAATAAATACTTTGTAAACATTCCTCTGCTGATTTCCATTACAAAAATTGTCATTTTATATTCTATAGGTTTATGTAAGTTTATCGTTACATTGGGGTATGTTGGGGTTTTCTTTTATTGTCACTGACAGCTGCACAATTCCTTTCGTTCAATTGCTTTCTTTTCTCTTTTTTTTTTTCTTCTGATTTTCTGTGCACTGCAACTCAATTCGTTTTATTTGCTACAAAATATAACTGTCACTTACACAGTTCAGAGTGTCAATTTCTGTTAAGTAATTTCTTGCAGACATATTTTGTATACCAAGAAATAATAAGAAGTAAGAAAGAAGACAGTTTGAGTCTTTGGTCGAATCTTGGATACCGTTCGTTTCAATAAAGCCAAACAATAAAAATTCGTTCTTTAACAAGTGTTAGCGATCTTTTGTTTTAAAAAACGATATATGGGAAACCAGATTAATTAAAAAAAAAAAAAAAGAATAAGCAAATAGAACCCACGGGTTAGATTGAATTTCCCCTTTTCATGTAAAATGTATTTGTGCCAAATTGCAAAATATCGACGGATCAGGTCTCTATAATGCTCTATATTTAGTATCTTTCGAAAATCTTTGCAACGTTTCTACATAAATTTTGACACACAATGAAATAAACGAATTTCATCGACAAGCAATTCGATCAGAAAAGCTCACAGCTTCCGATAAAAGCGACAAAGTGAGATATTTGTATATTTTCGGCTTATACTTCCAATGGGCAAAAGAAACGACATATGGAAGACCGGTTGTGCGGGTCTATGTTTTTTCTTCGTACGGCTGCACAAGTTATCATGAAAAATATCTGTATATAATTTAATAAAGATATGAGTATCCCTACAAGGATTTAGGCAATGCCCAGGAGTTGAAATGGACCCACCTTTCATCACAATCAGATCACAATTTTCGGAGACATTTTTAAGAAACTTCGCACACTGCCATATTTTGGATCAATGACGGACGTTAATGAAAACGTTTTGGATTGGGTCACTTTTTCGATCACTTCCTTATTTTGAAAAGTCATTATATGAATAACTGTAGAGTGGTGTGGACTGCGGCTCACTCTTGTATTTGTATTTGTTATTTTTATTTTTTAATGCGACCAATTATGCAAGAGATATCCTCTGTGCATGTATCATAGCGACATTTGAAAAGTAGCGAGGAAAGGGAAGGTGCTACGGAATGGATGATGGCGAAGTTTCAACTTATGCCGGTGGAGTTTCTTTCTCAGAATACAAGCAGTAGATTGCCGATCACTAGGACCGACAAGCACACAAAGCAAAACGCACATTAAAATTCACTACGTTTATATGCATACATACACATAAATATATATATTTCACATGTCGTGACCGGTCATCGAACGGTCTTCAAATACTTAAGTTCAAATAACTTATTTTTAGTGCTTAGTCGGTTTCGTGGTTTTCTCTGAGCTTCTAACATATTTTTAATGTACGCTTTGTTATGCGTGGCTTTGGCAAAGAAACCCTTGTTTTTACAATCAACTGAATCGCATCTGGTTGCCAATATAAGGCACGCTGATCAAAAATGTACGTTTCTAACGAAGGGGTTCAACTAGGTTCGTTACACTATTTCCACATTAACTCGTTAATTAACATAACACTGCACTTTAGGCCAATCTAAATTATGTTGGCTAAAAAGGCTTTATTAAGTCATAAGTTCATAATTTTCTTTTTCCATAAG